TTCTTCCAATAGAAATCTATTTCATCTCCATTGAAAGTCTGTTGTTCAGTGTAGCCACATGCATCAGTTATCTCAGCTGGAATTTCTGGATAACTTGTTACAGCTTCTACATCAGAACTTGCTGCTTCACCTTGCACTTTTATATTATGGAGATAGCTTCTTTCTTAAACCTCATGAACCAATTTCTGCTAGCTTCCAACTTTTCTTCTGGGGTTTCCTCACTTCTCTTGGCCTTCATAGAATTGAAGAGAATTAGGGCCTTGCTATGAATTAGGCTTTGGCCTTAGGGAATATCGTGGCTAGCATGATCTTCTATTCAGACCACCAAAATTTTCTCCAGATCAGCAATAAGGCTGTTTCACTTTGTTATCACTAGAATAGCACTTTTACTTTTCTTCCAGAACTTTTTCTTTGCATTCACAACTTCATTAATTGTTTGGCTCCGAAGGCCTAGTTTTCAGTCTGTCTTGGTTTTTGACATGGCTTCCTCACTAAACTATTTCTAGCTTTTGATTTAAAATGAGAGATATGTGACACTCCTTTGACTTGAACACTTAGCAGACATTATAAGGTTATTAATTGGCATAATTTGAATATTATTTTGTCTTAGGGAATATGAAGACTTGAGGTAAAGAGGATAGACAGGGGAATGGCCAGTAGTTGGGGCAGTTAGAACACATACAGTATTTATCAGTTAAGTTTGCTATCTTATATGGGTGTGGTTTGTGGCACCTCAAGACAATTATGATAGTAGCATCAAACATCACTAATCAGAAGTCACCATAATAGATATAATAATAATTTTAAAGTTTGAAATATTGTGATAATTACCAAAACATGACTCAGAGACACAAAATGAACACATGCTGTTAGAAAAATGTCACCAATAGACTTGCTCAACACAGGGTTTCCACAAACCTTCAATTTGTGAAAAATACAGTATCTGTAAAGCACAATAAAGTGCAATAAAACAAGGTATGCCTGTATATTGAAATAAATAGTATAAACACCCCAATGAAAAAGTGGAGATTATCATATTGGATAAAAAAGTGAGACCCAACCATATACCATCTAAAATCCTCCCCGTTTCTTAGACACATATGCTGTAACTATCATTTGAGAATGATTTGGCAATACCTAATTTGTTGGGAATGTGTTGTACCCTGTGACCTAGCAATTCCATTTATGTCTTTGGCTACATAGGGAGACATATTCCAAGATGTTTATTGGAACATTATTTATAATAGGGAAAAATAAAAGCTAAATGTTAATTAACAGAGGATTATAAATACAGCATATTAATATACTGTGATACTATATTGCAGTTTTAATGAATGAATTAGATCTACATGTGTCAACATGGTCACTAATGTATTCCCAGTTAGTTTCATGTTAGCTTTGGCTTTTTCTATGCTTGTAAATTCAAAAGTCATTCATTTTGTAAATATACCATTAATATGTTTGTGTGATTTGTTCGTGCTTATATCTAGTAACTCAGACATACATTTGAAAAGTTAACAGTAACACAAGACATTACAGGTAGCCTCTGTCTTTCACGATTCTTTAAAAAGTCTGTTATATACTTGTTACGAAACATACTGACTGGAATACCCTGTTATTTTTCAGCCTTGTCTTGCATCAAGGTGGGATCAGTGGAGGCAAGAAGGAAAGGCAAAGAAAATAGCTTCTTTCCCTCCCCTATGCCTCTGTACACCCCACCACTTTCCTTTTCTTTCTTTCTTTTTGAGACAGAGTCTTGCTCTGTCACCCAGGCAGGAGTGCAATGACATGATCATGGCTCATTGCAGCCTCGGCCTCCCAGGCTCAAGGGATCCTCCCACCTCAGCTACTCAAGTAAATGGGACCAATCGGCATGTGTCACAATGCCTGTTTTTGTTTGTTTGTTTATTTTTGTCATTGTAGTTTTGTTTGTTTTTTGTAGAGATAGGGTCTCCTTATGTTGCCTAAGCTGTTCTTGAACTCTTGGCCCCAAGCAGTCCTCCTGCCTCAGGCTAGGATTGCAGGTGTGAGCCTGCCTCTACCTACCTACCACTCTTATCCACATAATGAAATGCTTGGAGTAGATTTTGTAAAAATAAAAAATAAATTTTAAAAAAATCACCATGCCTATGTACATACATTTGAACTGCATCCTTCTTTAACTTACAACCTAAATGTAGATGTTCCTCATGAAAACATTGAACCAGTCTCACCAGAAATAAGGGTAAAATAGATCATTGAAATAATAGAGTGAAAATTATAATTATAAAATATAAAAATATAATTTTGCTAAGTAATTAACCTATATTTAGCTATGCATTAGGATTAAAATATAACATGTTTCATGTAGTTATTTTATTAATATTCAAGAAAATACTCTAGTTCCCAAACACTGGGGTCTGTTGGGGGGGGTCAAGGAAGGGACAGTGAGGGGGTGTGTGGGGAGGTCGAGGAGAGATAACATGGGGAGAAATGCCAGATGTAGGTGACAAGGGGATGGAGGCAGCAAACCACCTTGCCATGTATGTACCTATGCAACAATCCTGCATGATCTGCACATGTACCCCAGAACCTAAAGTACAATAACAATCAATTAAAAATTTAAAAAATTTAAAAACTCTAGTTCATGATTTTTCATCTTCCTTTTAGAAAAACCTGAGCTCTAGATATACTTTGTATCTTTCCTATTTATTGCCTTTGATTTTTTGCTATTCATAATTAGTAACTGCCAATGTCTCCTGTATTGATTTCATATTCATTCTTATTAATTAATTATGAATATATAATTTGAGTAGGTAATTGTAGTCCCCAGTTACTAAAATAAAAATAATAAAGCATATTTATTTAGAGGAATTTTTCATATAAACATTATTTGTACCTTGGCAGTTCTTAATATTAACACTCAAATAAGAAAATATGCATAGAAAATATCCTGGCTTCTTCCTAACAGATCAATCATGTAATTGTTTTCTATAAAGTAGACATAAGTACTTAATTTTTAAAAATTAGAATAACATCACTTTTTCTTTTGCATGGTGTATTCTAAAATAAGTCAAGCAGGAATGTTTAATATTGGTTTGATCATTGCAATAGCTACTAATTTTTCTTCTGATTATGTACTTTTATTGGTTTGAGAGAGATTTATTTCTAGAAGATAAAAAAGATGAAGTCATTTCCCAATCATCAGTTTAATCCTACTAACTCTTTTTCTCAGCTTTGATTTATTCCTTTTGATCTTTTCATGTGTGATTTTTTTATCCCTTTTGTTATCAATCATTATCATAGGAGGCTGTGTGTTCATCAACTGAATTTTTAGTTTAAAAAACTCTCTTATAATATTGTAGTACTTTAAATTCCTGGTGAGTAAGAAGTATGTGTTCAACTTCTTCATCTTCCCTTACAGCTCAAACTAATACTTTACCTTATAATAAATTTTCAATAAGCCTCCAGCTAGGCTTAAGAAACCAAGCAAGTACTCTGGGAATATGTAATGAAGTCTGATAATCAGAAGTAGTATATTAGCCATACTGAAACATTGCTATTGAAGCCACCTTCTGCCTCAGCAAGGTTTCTTATAGGATAAGAATACCATGGCAGAGGTAAAAAAGCAAGTCAGCAATGTTGGTAAACTCTGAAGCTGTCAGCCTATATCAGCTAGCAGAACTGTTGTTCCAAAAGCAATTCTTTTCTGATTTTACTGTATTTCTGATTCTACCATGGTATATTATTTCATTAAAATATTATTTGTACCAAATTCCTTAACACAATGTCTGGCACATAATAGGTGCTCTGTAATTGTTGAATGGATAAACGAATGTCATAATGTGTACGTGTATTAGTCTGTTCTCACACTGCTATAAAGGACTGCCTGAGACTGGATAATTTATAAAGAAAAGAGGTTTGATTGGCTCACAGCTCCACATGGCTGGGGAGGCCTCAGGAAACCTACAATTATGGCAGGCACGTCTTATATGACCCCAGGCAAGACAGAGAGTGTGTGTAGGAGGAAATGTCAAACACTTATAAAACCATCAGATCTCGTGAGAACTATCTAATTATCATGAGAACAGCCATGGTGGAACCACCCCTACGATCCAATCACATCTAATTAGGTCTGTCCCTCAACCCCTGGGGATTACAATTCAAGATGAGATTTGGATGGGGAAACAAAGCCACATCGATAAGGGGTAAATTAAATTCTGCCTTAGAAACTAAATGTGTTAGATTAATCATACATAAATGATAATTTGACTTGATAATAGAGAACAACAAAAATTGAGGGGGTCTTTCATCTCAATTTAGTTCCCTTTCTGTTTTTCTTATATTATTTATATCTGAAAGGAGTATCATATGTAATAAATAAATGGCCCCTTTGTTTTTTGGTTTTTGTTTTGTTTTAACTTTTTTTTTTTAATAGATAGGTCTCTATGTTAACTAGGCTGGTCTTGTACTCCTGGCTACCTGTGATCCTCCTAACTCAGTCTCCAAAAACGCTGAGATTATAAGCAAGAGCAACCATGCCCAACCCCTAAGTGGACCCTCGGAAAGAGAGAAGTATCAAAGAAAGAAACTGTATTTGTTCAGGTTACTTTTAGCACAGATTGACAAAATTTTATTTTAGGTTCAAATTTCCACCAAGACTGAGTGATCTCTAATCATAATTTTAATTTATTGCTGAATATATAAAGAACATATGTTTATTTAAGAGCACTTTGAACATTTAGAAAAAGTAGAATGAAGATCTACATAATTCCAACGACAGAGAAAACAATGTCACTTTAGTATTTTAGAGTAAAAGTTTATTTTGAAAGTGAATTTAACTTCTCACTTTAATAAGAATTTTCTTTCATATATTCATTTTATATTTTGTAGGTGGTTGTTTGACTTTTAAAGTTACTTAAACTATTCCTCATTAATCTGTGTTGTTGTTGTTGTTTTTGCAGTGAACGACTTGATTAGTTTATAGATCAAATGTGTCTATCTCATTGTGTCTTTAACAGGTCGACCAAATACAAACCCCAGCTTGCAAGGGAAAGCCAGAAAAACTATAAGTGATAGGTGGGAGAGTCAGCTGTGGAGGGAGAAAAAGTTTGGCTTAATAGATCACCTACACTACAGCCGTGTTTATCCGGAAAGTATTCCACGGAAATTTACATTTGAACACAGAAAGTTTCTTAGTCAGCAGTATAATTCTCAGCCTTCTAAATATATACCACCAGAAGGAAGGCCCCCAAAACTTGATGATTTTAAGAGTGCCCGAAGCCTTGGACATTTTGAAGTAACCATCCTAGGTAAGTCTTTTGAATATCACTAATTTAACATATTTGAAATATACCTGCCATTTTGCTTTAAAATTTTAAGCCCTTCCCACAAAAATATTAAGAGCAAGGGGAGTTCTTGTTTGGCTCAAACAAAAAGAATGGAACACTAATTATGGAATAAATGAATATCTAATTGTGTGCTTCTAAACATTGGCAAGTCCTTGGAAAGTATCTGGGGAGAGAAGAATGGGAGAACTAAGGGAATATTCCTCATTCCTATCTGACTACTTCTAAGGCGGCTTCTGTTCTCCCTTACCCACCACTTTCTTGCCTATATTCTCTGCTTATTCATTCATCTGAACCACTAAAGGGTAAAGTGTAAGTAAAAGAGAAGAAAGGATGCTAATCAAAAGAAGACCGTACAAAAAAAAGGCCTGTTTAGCCCCTCAAGGTAATAAAATAATCAAGTAACTAAGGTTGACTAGAAATAAGTTGTTGAAAAGATTCCCTTACCTGATAAAAATAATCTGATTTACCTTAGAGGTAGCTATAGAACTTAAAGAAATTTTAAAAAGTCAAAACATTTTAAAACTTAGATTTTGTTGTTGTTGTTGTTCCTGAAAGATGAAAAATTTACACACACCAAGATTCAAAAATAAAATTTTAGCTAAAATGACTCTCAGAGTCAAGGAAACAATACATTTGTGTTTCACAGTAAGGTCTTAGTACTAGGTTTTGTTACCTTAAAATGAAGGAATGAGGAAACAAATATTAGCAAATTAACTTAATGACTGAGCAATTTAGTTCACGGATTTTTGCATTTGTAGTACTGAACATCTTGGCCGGTTAGCTCAGTTGATGAGAGCATGGTGCTAATATTTGTAGTCCTGGGATAAATTACCTTGACCTTTATCAAGATTCTCTTTTCCCTATTATTCTCTCCCAACCCCTCTTCCCCTAACTCCTCATATATGAATATGTACAGACATGTGAGTATGTATACAATCTATGAAAAGTCTGAATTCCCACTGACTTCATTAGACAATCACAGACCTAAGTTTCAAATGCTTTTTCACTAGACTGCATTACTTGTTCTCTTCAAGTAGTTCATCAACTTTAGTTTTCTACCTAGGAAACAAAAATTATAGCAAAATTTCCCATCGACTGAAAAAAGTAATCATGGTTAATGGACATAAAAAAATAGTTAGAAAGAATGCATAAGACCTACAATTTGTTAGCACAATAATGTGACTATAGTCAATAATAATTTAATTGCACATTTTAAAATAACTAAAAGAGTATAATTGGATTGTAACTCAAAGGATAAATGCTTGAAGGGATGGATACCCCATTTGCCGGGATGTGACTATTACATATTGCATGCCTGTATCAAAATATCTCATGTACGCCATAAATATATACCCCTATATACCCACAAAAATTACAAATTAAAAAAAGATAACCATGGAAATGATGAGTTCATCTAGAAACATAGAACTTGAATATTTTCCTTACTTTTAACATGTTACTGCTCTATGAAAATAGCTTGATTAATACTTCTCAGCTGTATTACATGTAATAATAAACATGTGTAGCTTTGGCTATGAATCAGCTAAAAGGAGGAATCAAATGTGAAGAAGGAAATTTCATCATTCTGCCACTAGCTTTAATCCATGTTAGATGGATACTGTTTTTATATACATTTTGTATCCTACATTTTTCCAAGGATGGTTTACATAGTTAAAGGACAGTGGAAAATAAGGCATTTATGAATGAAACAAAACAGAACATTTTAAAGGAAGCACAAAAGCTAGATATTACTAGATATTAGCAAATAACAAAATTTCTACCATTGGCAATAATTTTCTCTGTGCTTTCTGACAGAAAGGCAGAGGGGTTTTTTCAGTTGTTATTGTTTTTTTTTTCCCCCAATGAGATATTTAATTTTAGAGCCAAAAGAAACTTGGATATCTTCTCATCTTACCCTTGGCTAGGTAAAAGCCAGGCCATGATTAGAAATCAGATCTCCTTAGTCTCTAAACATATCATCTGTTGCACCGAAAACAATTATATATAGGAACCCTGCTATTTTTTCTCTCAAACAAAATTCAAGTCCGAATTAACTGTATGAAATTATTGTGTAAGTAGCACAGGATAACAAATGGGTTATCTTCAACTGTAGTTTTTTTTTGAAAGTATGTAAATGCTCTTCAGATAGTTGCTTCATGCATCAACCTTTTAATATACCTAATCAGTATAATCATTAGTCATATCTTAATAAAGCATTTCCATAAAGGAATATATTTTCACTTTATTATTATATAACCCAAGTACTTCACTCTCTAATAGTTTAACTTAATATAGGGATAAAACCTAGACAGCTGAGATAAATGGTACTGGATCCAGTGATTCTCAAACGGTCTTCGTAGGAGGGGGTAGCTTATCAAAGTCATCTACAAGAGGCCTACTCATACGTCTTAGGATTCTGATACATACAAGAGAAGCAGCCCAGTCTAATGCCATTCATGAGAGACTCATTGCCACCGAGAGAATGCCCCTGCCAAGAACACATCCCGTCCATCAGGTATAAAGGAGTAGATTAAAGGTTGAAAACCACTATGCTTTAAGTAGTACTTGAAGTATAGACATTATATACTTCATGTACTATCTATATTCATGTCTTCAGTCATTCAAGTACTATCTACATCTATACTTCACGTACTATTTAGAATGAGAGCTGAATATCAGATGTGAAAGTGCTGAATTTGTCATATATTTTAGGATTCTAGTATGAACCCAAGTTGTATTATAAAACCAGACAAATGGTTGATATATATTTTAAGCATGGACATGAGCAATAAACTCAGAAGAGAGGAATAAATCTCTTATTACTGTGCTATTTGTTAAAAGGTAGAATCCTAAAACTGAAGGATGAATTTAAGTATATCTTATACAAGGCAGAACACTTGGTCAGTAAAGGGCCAAGTAGTAATGTTTGAGGCTTTACAGACCATACAAGGTCTCTTGCAACTACTCAGTTCTGCTGCTTAGTGTGAAAGCAGCCATTGACATATGTAAATGAATGTTCCTGGCTACTTGAAAAATGCTTTATATACACTAACATTTGAATTTCATGTTTTTATGTATCATAAAATATTCTTTTGTTTTTTTAACTATTTAAAAGTGTGAACACCACCACGATAAACATACATGTGCATGTGTCTGTATAATAGAATGATTTATAATCCTTTGGATATATGCCCAGTAATGGGATTGCTAGGTAATGGGCAAAACTGGAAACCGTCATTCTCAGCAAACTGACACAAGAACAGAAAACCAAACACCGCATGTTCTCAATCATAAGTGGGTGTTGAACAATGAGAACACACAGACACAGGGAGGGGAAAATCACACACTGGGGCCCAGGGGGTAGAAGGCTAGGGAAGGGATAGCAGGGGGTAGGGGGATTGGTACCGTGGCAATGTCAGAAGCCTGTCCTAGAAGCACTGGTTCTTGTCTTTAAATTCTTGCTGTGCCATCTCACTTGCCTCAAATCAATAGATAGTAACCATTAAAACCTCAGTTCATTGCCTACCATGTAAGATCACACACTTTAAATAGAATATATTGAGATGAAGTAATGCTAGATTTCCAGTGCCCTTAGCCAAAGTACAAAATGTAAAATATTTTGGTCAGTCTTTCCCAATTTTAAGAATTATTTCTCACCTTAAATATAAGCACACACGTTTCAAAAGTTTTAATTGAGCTTACAAATGTTATAGTGTATCATTGGCTCTACTAACACTAATTTGGTTACCCATGAAATCTGATGGGTCAATTGAAGATTAAAAGTCATCTCCTCAATTTTCATTTGACTTATTTAATTAGGAAAATCAGCCAGCCCTTCCAAGTCTCTGAAGGCGACCTGTTTGTCTTTTAGACGTCAAAAGACACAAACCCCAATAATAGCATTAATTGGTGAGGGAACCAACATTGAGGGAACCCAGTGCTACTCAACTAATCTTTCAAATAGGCTTTGAGCAAGGAAGGTGGCATACCCCAGAGGTACAAATAATTGATCCTGAGCCCATAGGCTAATACCAAGAATGGAAGAAATTGGTACTGCTATTGGCCTGCTTGGCTGCTTTAATAAAAGAAAATATAAAGATGAGTAAAGCCTTATTATTTCAGTATAACTATAGCATATTAAATTACTTTGATGTCATAATTAATGCTATTAAAATTTGAAATTATCTTCTAAATGCATTTTACAGTAAAGGAAAAGAAAAAACCATATGACAATTTTTTTCAAAAAATATTTTGACAAAATCTAGAAAAGATTATTTTGACAACTCTCCTTACATCATAGCCATTTTTATTGGAGTTTGTACAGGATATTTGTGTTCATTTATTGGTAACAGGAATATGGATGAATTTGCATTTGAATACTCTTACACAAATGTCTTAAACTCTAGTATTTAAAAAATAGATAAAATGCACAAATGTATATTTATTTAGTCAATTTAAGAAATATTTACTGAGCATCTACTATGTGCCTAGCACTGTTCTAAGTGCTAAAGTTACGTTAGTGAACATAACAGATAAAAACCCTGCTCTGTGAGAGCCTGTAGTAGTGTGAGATGGTGACAGGTGCTAAGAAAAACAGAAGCTGGGAGTGTTGAAGTAGGAAAGGGTTAAATTTTAAATAGCAGAGTCTCCGGGAGAAAGGAACATTTCAGAAACCTGGTGGAGATGTAGTTAGCTGGGGAAAAACCATTCTAGGCACAGAAGCAGCAAGCAAAAGCCCTGAGGCCTATTGATTTATACGTTTGTACTTTGAACGCTAGTGGTTTTTTTATTTGTTTGTTTGTTTGTTCTTGAGACAGGGTATCACTCTGTTGCCCAGGCTGGAGTGCAGTGGTACAATCTCGGCTCACTGCAACCTCTGCCTTCCAGGCTCAAGCAGTTCTCCCACCTCAGTCTCTGAAGTAGCTTGGACCACAGGCACACACCACACCACATCCCGTTTTTGTTTTTTTTTTTTTGTTTTTTTTTTGTGTGTGTTTCTATTTTTGGTAGAGACAAGGTTTCACCATGTTGCCCAGGCTGGTCTCAAACTCCTGGACTCAAGCAATCTGCCTACCAAAGTGCTGGAATTATAGGTCATAGCCACTGCGCCCAACAAGAACTCTAGTTTTAATCAAACAGCTCAGTAAAAAATTCACTGATAGTGCTAAAGCTCAACTCCCAATATTTTATAATTTAGAAAGCAACTAAAAATAGTATCAATGACACACTAATATGTCAACCGTCGTGAAAATATCATGATTTCCAAATTCTGATAGTTTCTCAGTTTCATCCTTCCTTTTTTCTTTGCAAGTTGGAATGGCCAATGGTACATTTAATGCAGTGTTTTCTTTTTTATTTATTTTTTATTGCATTTTAGGTTTGGGGGTACATGTGCAGAACATGCAAGATAGTTGCATAGGTACACACGTGGCAGTGTGATTTGCTGCCTTCCTCCCCTTCACCCACATCTGGCATTTCTCCCCATGCTATCGCTCCCCAGCTCCCCCGCTCCGCTGTCCCTCCCCTATTTCCCCCAGGAGACCCCAGTGTGTAGTGCTCCCCTCCCTGTGTCCATGTGTTCTCATTGTTCATCACCCGCCTATGAGTGAGAACATGCATTTTCTTTTTCCTTAAAAAAAAAATAGGCTGGATGCAGTGGCTCATGCCTGTAATCCCAGCACTGTGGGAAGCAGAGGTGGGCAGATCACAAGATCAGGAGATCGAGACTATCCTGGCTAATATGGTGAAACCCCATCTCTACTAAAAATACAAAAAAAAAAAATTAGCTGGGCGTGGTGTCATGCATCTGTAGTCCCAGCTATTTGGAAAGCTGAGGCAGGAAATCGTTTGAACCCGGGAGGTGGAGGTTGCAGTGAACTCAGATCACATGGCTGCGCTCCAGCTGAGGTGACAGAGCAAGACTTCGTCTCAAATAAATAAATAAATAAATAAAATTAATGATATATATCTGATTTAAATTTAGTATTAGAATCAAGGATATAAGATACCAGCATGTACACATTTATATGAGTCTTGCAGCATTGCTAGTTGTGGGGTGGCTATGCTTCTTATAATACTGAATTAGAATTCTTGGATAATTCTAAATAACATGATTATTCCAGTTTATGGCTACCAAATTTTAGTAATCCTTAGAAAGCTCTAAATGGCCCTTATCTATATGCTAAGTTAAATATATGAGATTCAATGTCACTTCCCCATAAAAAGCAAAGAAGTTGCATTTCTGAATTGGTTCGCAGCTTAATGAGAAGGATTTGCTTATGGATCATTAGCCTGTACTCAGTACTTAAGAATCACTGTAAGAGATGAATCAGAGAAATATTAAGGTCATAGACTTTAGATGACTAAATATCTGGAAAAGACTGAAAAGGCGGAGTTAAAGGTAACTCTCAGGTTTCTGATTTGGGTAACTGGATGGAATTCATAGTTTTAAAGCTGAGCTCTGTGTGTTTGTTTACCCTTACTCCAATCAAGATGGTCTATTTAGTCTGGTCTACACCTTTGGCTTGTGCTATTCCCTGCCATGTGTGAAATGCTCTCCTCTCTGTTATTTAAATGATACTCATCCTTTCGTACATAGCTAAAACCTTTTTCTTCTTCTAGGAAATCTTTTTTATCTATCCTAACTGACATTGACCCACATAAAAAGATGACAGTCAAAGGTCAGGATTCCCTCTTAGCCCTTAGTTGTTCCCCCTTAGCCCTTTTTCTACCACAGCCTTTTGTGGCCCTAATGGTGAGTGTGTGAACCTTGTCTTTTATATTTGAGGACAGATGGGACCTAGTTACTACTTCATCCCTGACCTTGCTTTAGTCAGATATCCTTGAGTCCAAATGACAATAAGGGAACCAACAGTCATCTCCAAATTCCCCTGCCCCAGAATAGCACCAGTCCTAAATGACCAAGGAAACACTCTACATGTCTTCATTTATATGACCATGCTATCCCCTGTATAGTAAGATTCCAATCTTCCATCAGTAGAGGAAACCTTTTGAACTGTTATTTCCAGCAGTGGTGAAAAGTTGCACTAAAGTGTCTACTCTTTCAACCAATGCCATGTATTCATAAATTGTAATGCTAAGAGTTTAGTCTACAGTTTTCAAACACAGTTTTTTTTTCAGATCTGAAGCTATTTGGAACATGTTGGGATCAAACCAACAAATTTGGCATCCGCACCACATGCTAACCCACTGATCTTTTAATAATGTATGAATTTTCTTTAACAGGTCTGAACCATGAGATAGCAATCGATGTTGCATTTCTACCCATGTATTGCCCAGAAGATATTCGAACATCTCAAATAGACACACTGTTGACCTCCATGAATTACAGCTGTGCATATCCACAGGATGCAAATGCCAATGACCGATTGCCAGGTTCGAGAGCAGTTGCAGGTAAAACAATCTCAGTGTTCTTTTCACTCAGAAAAAAAAATGATTATAAACAGACCTAACCTTAAGATTTTATTATGTAAACAGTTCTAACCTTAACATTTAATGTAGTTTTAATTAAAGGGTTATTTGGTAAATGTTCCCCAAGACTTACAAATGAGAATATGTATTTAAAATAAATTGAATAGCTGTTTCTACTCTAGTCAGGCATTAAGAATATTATAATATAATTTCAAGTATAATTACTTCATCAGACATAAGTGGTATGCACATGGAGCAGTACAAATTCTACTCTTTTTTTCCTTTTTCTGAGGCAACACAATTTGTCATTTTGCCTTGTAATTGCCTGAAATTATAATACCTCCATAGTATAGTAGAGTAAAATTGTTTTCTCTTATAAATGTTTAATTATTCCAGTGCTATGCAATAAATTCTTTGAGAACTGCTAGGAGCATATGTATTCCCAATAGTGAAACTCTTCAACCAGCTAATTGTTTAGGTTGCTGCATAATATACTGAAATCTAAATTGTTTCTATGTACCTATAAAATTATCTGTCCAATCATAATTACCCCCATTCACTTTTTTTGTTGTTGTTATTTCTAATTCCTAAGCATGTGGTAAATTTTCTAGCAGTTTTCATTGAGCTTATCAGGATATTACATTTAAAATAACTTTTAAGAAAGGCCTTATTATCTTGGAATTTTGTGGCGGGTCTTTCTAAGCTGATGAAACTCTTGAGTGTATGCTGTTTTTGAGTAAGTCTTATGAGCTGTGTCTGATGATAAAGTAATTATTGGCAGTAATAGTTGCTGCAAATTGAACTAGAGTATCTAATTTTGTAAAAGATGATTTTTTTATTTTTCCCACAGTCCATTTTAGAGATCACGTGTTAGTTGAACTGCAGTATTACTTTCTACGTTGGAGTTCCTTAGACTTTCAGTAATTTCACATTTCTTAATTAGTGCCCTAACATGCAGCTTGAATATATGTGCACTCATGTATGCTCATGTTTCATATACTATCCACTTATGTCACATATCTTCTGCTATATGTCTATAATACTATTGATATAAAATACCAGTTCAGCATTCTCAGATAACTGCTTGGTGCTAGTGCCAGTGTTCTTCCAGTAGTCACTAACATGGTTGTATGAAAAATACCTGGTACCCTTCTGCCAACGCAGGTAATATTTGATATGTGAAGGACAAAAATCACCAGGGAAGAACAATTATTTGGTAATCACAAACAAAGTGATTCATTTTGAGAGGAACACCATGATTTTTGTGACATAGCATTAATAATAATATGTATAATATAATAATAATAGTAGTGTCCGTTTAATTCTGTACCAAGCACTGTGCCTAGGCATTTTATGTAAGTTAGAACTAATCCTAACAAGAACCTCACAAGGTAAGCCTTACCATCCCCTATTTATAGATAACTAGACTGAAAATCAGAGAGATTCACTAGCATGAGTAACAAAGTTAGATTTTGAAACCTGATCTAATTCCAAACTTTTTCTTTCCTTTCATGATTCTAAACTGAAAGATAAAAATAGTTACAAAAATGATGTGATACGTTGGCTCATGGCATAATGCTAGTGTCATCTTTCAAACATTCTTTGTAAGGTAGTTTCTTTTTTATTACAAAAGCCATACATATTAATAATTTAAAAATTCAAATAGTACAAAAAGGTACCAGGTAAAAATGAAAGCTCTCCTCCTTGCCTTCCCATTCCTGCTCTTTCCACCAACCCACTCCTCTATTCTCAGGAGATAACCAGCATTATTTGAACCCGTTAAGAAATTATTTTTGCAAATGAAAGTATGTATTCTATTGCTCTCTCTCTCAAATAATTAGGTAAAAATAGAATTAGTAAACATATGAATTCTATATCCAGCTTTTTCCCTTTTACAGTATATCTTTGACATATTTCATATTAGTATAGAGAAAGCTACCTCTTTCTTTCTAATAACTACAAAGTATTCCACTGTGTGGATGTGCCAAATTTATTTAACAAGTCCCCTACTGGTAGACATTTAGTTGTTTCCAAATGTTTTTGCTATTAACAAACAGTACTGCATGAATATGTGTGTGTGTCAATAAAATCTTTACACTTGTTTCACTTAAGGTAATGACCTCCAGTTCCACCCATGTTGCTGGAAAAGACATAATTTCATTCTTTTTATGGCTAAATAGTATTCCACCGGGCATACTTATATAAGAGATATGTAACTTTGGTAGATATTGTGAAATGGTTCTCCAGAATGGTTATACTAATTTTCACTGGAACCAAAAGCAAGAGTGCCACTTTACTCATGCCCTTGTAAAAACTAGATATTGTTGGTCTTGCTAATCTATGACAGATAGATAGGCAAAAATAACATATTATTAATTTGATTTGCATTTATCAATTATTTCTGAGCATTAAAATCTTAATATGTTTATTTTCCATTTATATTTTTTCTTTCTATAAGCTTTCTATGCTAGTCTTACCTTTCATTTGTCTCTATTCTTTCTTAATAATTGGTAAGTTCTCTCTGCATATTAAAGAAATAAGCCTTTTATCATATGTTACAAAGACTTTTACCCAGTTCGACATTGTTTCAATGGGACATTTGCTTTGGTTAAGTAATTTTACTCATATGTACTAAAATACGTTAGATTTCTTATCTTGTGGGTGCTGGTTTTATGTCACCTTCAGACATCACTCTGGTCAAGAATACATTTTTTTTAATTCACTGTCTTTTTCCAGTACTTTTAGAGCTTCATCCATACATACTGATATATTTTTATTGTGATAAAACATATATATCAAAATTTACTATTTTAATCATTTTTATATGTACTATTCAATGACACTAAGTACACTTACAATGTTGTGCAATCATCATCACTTCAGTTCCAAAACATTTTTATCATCTCAAAGAGAAACTCTGCACCCATTAAACATTAACTCCCCATTCTCCCCTCTTTCCAGCCCTAAGTAACAGCTATTCCACTTTCTATCCCTAGGAATTTGCCTATTTTTCATTCCTTTTTATGGCTCTGACTGAGTAATATTCCATTGTATGTGTATACCACATTTTAAATTTTTGTACATACATTTGCCTTTTCTTTTAATTTTTACTTCTATAAATTTATGGGGTACAAGTGCAATTTTGTTGACATGCATAGATTGTGTAGTGGTCAAGTCAGGACTTTCAAATACCCATTACCTGAATAACATACATTGTACTCATAAAGTAATTTCTCATCATCCCTTCCCACCTCTCACCTTTTAGATCTCCATTGTTTATCATTCTACTCTCTACATCCATGTTGACACATTTTTAGCAACCACTTATGAGTGAGAATGTGAGATATTTGATTTTCTGTGTCTGGCTTGATTCATTTAAGATAATGACCTCCAGTTCCACCCATGTTGCTGGAAAAGACATAATTTCATTTATTTTATGGCTAAATGGTATTCCACAGGTCATATATACCACATTTTCTCTATGCATTTGTCTGTTGATGGACATGTAGGTAGATTCCACATCCTTGATATTGTGGATAGTGCTTCAGTAAATGTATGAGGGTAGGTATCTTTTTGATAAATTGATTTAATTTTTAATTTTTTGGTTAAATAGTAAGTATATGTATTTATGGGATACATGAGATGTTTTGATACAGACATGCAATACATAACAATTACATCAGAGTAAAAGCAGTATCCATGCACTCAAGCATTTGTCTTTTGTATTACAAACCACCCAGTTGTAGTCTTTTAGTTATTTTTAAATGTACAATTAAATTGTTATTGACTTTAGTCAGCCTGTTGTGTTTTTTTGGTGTCCGTTAACCATCCCCACGTCCTCCCCACCCCACCCGTGCTACCCTTCACAACCTCTAGTAACCACCCTTCTACTCTTTATGTCAGTGAGTTCACTTATTTTGATTATTAGGTCTCACAAATAAGTGAAAATATGTGTTGTTTATCTTTCTATACCGGGCTTATTTCTCTTAGCATAATGATCTCCAGTTAATCATGTTGCAAATGACTGGATCTCATCTTTTCTGACTGAATAGGACTCCACTGTACCATATTTTCTTTATCTATTCTTCTGTTGATGGACACAGGTTATTTCCAAATTTTGGCTATTGTGAAAAGTGCTGCAGCAAACATGGGAATGCAGATATCTCTTTGATTTACAGATTTTCTTTCTTTTAGGTATATACCTAGCAGGGGCATTGCTGGATCCTATCGTAGTTCTATTTTTAGTTTTTTGAGGAACCTCCAAATTGTTCTCCGTAGTGGTCATACTAATTTACATTCCCACTAACACGAGGGTTCCCTTTAGCCCCATACTTGCCAACATTTTTTATTACCTCTCTTTTGGATTTAAGCCACTTTAACTGGGGTGAGATGATATCTCATTGAAGATTTCATTTGCATTTCTCTGATGTTCAGTGATGTTAAGCACATCTTCATATGCCTGTTTGCCATTTGTATGTCTTCTTTTGAGAAATGTCTATTTAATTCTTTTGCCCAGTTTTAATTGGACGATTAGATTTATTCGCATACAGTTCTTTGAGCTCCTTATATATTCTAGTTATTAATTCTTTGTCAGATGGGTAGTTTTGAAATATTTACTCCATTCTATAGGTTGTCTCTTCACTTTGTTGATTGTTTCCTTCACTGTGCAGAAGGTTTTTAACTTGATGTGATCCCATTTGTCCATTTTTGCTTTGGTTGCCTGTGCTTGTAGGGTATTACACAAGAAATCTTTGCCCAGACAAATGTCATGGAGATTTTCCGCAACGTTTTCTTGTAGTAGTTTCATAGCCCAATGTGTTAGATTTAAGGCTTTAATCCATTTTGAGTTGATTTTTGTATATGGCAAGAGATAGGGGTCTTGTTTCATTCTTCTGCATATGGATATCCAGTTTTCCCAGTACCATTTATTGAAGAGACCCTCCAGTGTATGTTCTTGGCACCTTTGCTGAAAATAAGTCCACTTTAGGTGTGTGAATTTGTTTCTGGGTTCTCTATTCTGTTCCATTGGTCTTTGTGTCTGTTTCAATGCTAGTACCATGCAGTTTTGGTTACTAAAACTCTAGTATAATTTGAAGTCAGGTAAAATGATTCCTCCAGTTGTGTTCTTTTTAGTTAGGATAGCTTTGGCTATTCTGGGTCTTTTGTGGTCCATATAAATTTTAGGATTTGGTTTTCTATTTCCCTGAATAGTGTCATTGGTATTTTGATATGATTACATTGAATCTCTAGATTGCTTATGGTAGTATAGGCATTTTAACAACATTAATTCTCTCAATCCATGAACATGGAATGCATATCCATTTTGTGGGGGTGTCCTCTCCAATTTCTTTCATGGTATTCTATAGTTTTTATTATAGAGATCTTTTACTTCTTTGGTTAATTTCTAGGTGTTTAGTTTTATGTGTGTCTATTGTAAATAGGGTTAGATTTTAATTTAATTTTTTCCGATTGTTCACTTTTGACATATATAAATGCTACTGATTTGTGTATGTTAATTTTGTATCCCACTACTTTACCTAATTTGTTTATCCATTCTAATAGTTTTCTGGTGGAGTCTTTAGGTTTTTCCAAATATAAGATCATATCATCTGCAAACAAGGATAATTCAACTTCTTCCTTTCCAGTTTGGATACCCTTTATTTCTTTCTGTCCAATCACTCTAGGTAGGATTTCCAGTACTATGTTGAGTAACATTAGTGAAAGTGGGCATCCTTGTCTTGTTCCAGATCTTAGAGGAAAGGCTTTCACTTTTTCCCCATTTAATATAATACTTGCTATGGGTCTGTTATATATGACTTTTATTACATTGGGGTGTGTTTCTTCTATCCCCCGTTTTTTAAGGGTTTTTATCATGAAAAGATGTTGAATTTTATCAAATGCTTTTTCAGCATAGCATCAATTGAAATGTTCATATTGTTTTTGTCCTTCATTCTGTTGATATGAAGTACCACATTGATAGATTTATGTATGTTATTCTGTCCTTTCATCTTTGGGATAAAACATTGATAATTAAATTTCAAAATAGAAAACTTTGTCTTTGCACTTCTTTGAAGTGTGCCAATAAGCTATTTATTTGGAATCTTCTAAATGACCTTGAAGATATGTAGATTTATTTTGCTCCACCAAAAACAAAACAGACACCCAAAACTAAATATGGCTTTCAAATACTAGTTCATGCCTTGACATTGTTAGTATATCTGTTTGACATGTTCACCTTTATATGCAGAAGTTGCCGTGTAATTTTGGTAAATGCATGTAATAAATTGGAGGGAAGAGGGAGAGGACAAGGCACAGTGATAATATTGTAAGAAAAAAATTATCAGCTTATGTGATACTAAAGTCGAGTAAATATTTAACTATTTTACAGTACTTACCATCTGCTTTTTACTTTTAGGTGATATTATAAAAGCTGTAACTGAACTGGATAGAGTGCATATCGTCGGTATCTTGGACATCTGTAATTTGGGTAATAATAATGTGGAAGTCTATTTGCACAAAATTTATAGTCCAGACAATACTTCTTAAAAGTTAGCAAATGAAATGATTACGGATTACAAGAGGGCACTGCTTTAAATATATTCTGTCATTTTGCTGGTAATTTCAGTAACTGTTTTCAGCAAGAATATTACATGAGCTCTAAAGTTATTAAGCAGTTTCATGCTCGTCTTGTATTTGGGGTGCTAAGACACTTCATTTTCGATTTACTATTGAGAAAGATCCTCAAAATAAGTTTGTGTATATGGAAATTTACCTTACTTATCTTACTAATATGACTATGATCTTGACTTGTAATAATTTATGTTCCATTTGTGAAGTGTACTTTCATTCTAAAGCCTCAGTACAAGCCATCCTAACTTACAAGAGTAACTTTTCATGGAGATGTAACATCCTTTCCATTTTATTCACATACAATGGTAAATTCTGAATTGTTAGTTTGAAGACTATTCTAAAGTGGTCAACCTGCACTTCTCACAACTAAGGTAGTTTGTATCATTTTCAAAAGTACATATTATTAGGGTTTATTTGCCCCTGGTCTTTGGTTTGCTCAGCTGCAAAATGAGCGTGCTAAATTAAATTGTCTTAAGGATTTTCCACTTCATTTTGTGACTTTGTGTGGTCCGAATGTCTCAGTATTTTCACCAGTGTGTTGATGTTAAAGCCAAAGGCTGCAGTATGCCTGTATTCTTGCTGTATTCATTTGTAATTTCAGTATTTGTAATGTGAGTTTAAATAGTGAAATTTTATCTCATATTAACATTTCAAATGCTCATATTGAAAATGGAAGATAGTATAGATGGGAACTGATTTTATTCTGGTTGTCTATTATACTTCGTTTTAAAGGTAAACGGCCACTCTGCATTTGCAAGACCCTGTGGTTGACATTTGTGTAGTTTGTTAGATGAGACAAAATGACCATCATACGAGTTTCTAGATTATTCTGTATCAAGATAAATCTGATTCCAGTTAAGCTATAAACTTGTGGGATTTTCTTGTAGCCCTATAGTTCTGTGACTTCATTTGCTATACACTTTAAATGTGTTGGGCAGCATATGAACCTAAAGATATACTGAAGTTTATTCATAAATGTGTTCAGTCTTTTTCTCTTTATAATTGTGTGTAAATGTTAAATAAAATAGTGGATTCTTCTCATGTTACAATGTTAAGTGAATTATTAAAGAAGTTAAAATGCAACAACTTTTTGGTCTCCTGTCTCATTTTGAATGCATTTGATGTGTTTCTGTCATATTTTTGGCCTAAATATGTACTTACTAAATGAGCCAAGATGCTTCTTCCATATGTGTTTAAAGACTGTTGTCAAAACAAATCTTAAATATATTAGCTTTTTGAAAAATTATATGCACATTTTCAGTGAAAATCAAGCAATATCCTTAAAAGGAACACAAGTACCTCTGGTGTTATTCTAAAGTTATCATATCTGACTTCTAGTAGCTTGATATCTAGAAGTTGCCCCTAACAAGGTTTTAATATCTATTTTGTAGATGGAGAACTGAAAAAGAAAAAGACTACATTACTTATGTAAATTAGTAAAAACGAGTTAATGGTAAAGTCAACCTTATATTTCAAAGTCTATTTCTTTAAACTCTAATTCGAGCACAAAGTAAAATGAGGCTGAGCATAATGGCTCACATCTGTAATCCCAGCACTTTGGGAGGCCAAGATGAGTGGGTTGCTTGAGCTCAAGTGTTTAAGACCAGCCTGAGCAACATGGTGAGACCCCTGCCTACAAAAAAAAAAAAAAAAAAAAAATAGAAAAAGGCCAAGTGCGGTGGCTCACGCCTGTAATACCAGCACTTTGGGAGACTGAAGGCTGGTGGATCACGAGGTCAGAAGATCGAGACCATCCTGGCCAACATGGTGAAACCCCGTCTCTACTAAAATACAAAAAATTAGCCAGATGTGGTGGTGCACACCTGTAGTTTCAGCTACTCGGAAAGCTGAGGCAGGGTAATTGCTTGAACAACCCAGGAGGCAGAGGTTGCAGTGAGCCAAGATTACACCATTTCACTCCACCAAGGCGACAGAGCAAGACTCTGTCTCAAAAAAAAAAAAAAAAAAAAAAAAAAACAAAGAAAAAGTAAAATGTTTAAATAATGATACAATTTCTATTGGTATATTAGGTCACTACTAGACCTATATGCCATGGGGCTCACAAAATAATGAGCTAAATTATTGCAGCTTATATCCAAATCTTCAAGTGTCTACTCCATGCCTAGCACTAGGAAAACAATACAATATAAGCAAAGATAAACATGGCCGCTATTATAATGAAACTTAATAGTCTCCTGAAGGAGAAACACATCCGAGTAATTGCAAAAATAAGTGAGACAAATATATCAGTAGAAACGTGATTTATATTAGAGCTTTTTAACAAAGTGAAGGGCACTAGGAAAGTTTTTCCTGAGGAAGTGAACTTGAGGTATAAAGGATATGCACCAAAAGGTGTGTTTGAGAATTTATAAGGACTGACATGGCTGAAATGAGATACAAGATGAGACAAGCAAATAGACAAGGACTCTTACAGACTATACTGTCTTACAGGTCATGGTAAAGGCTTTAGTTTAAGTTTGTATCTTTAAAGCACTGGGAAGCCATTGAAAGATTTGTGGCTAGTATATGCCATGATTCAATTCCTGTTTTAGAATGGTCATTGTCTACTGGAAGGAGAATGGATTATAAGGAGGTTGGCAGAGACTGTTATAATAGTTGTACCCAAATACCTGTTCTCTTCTTCTATAGTAATAGATCTCCCAATATTATCTGGGAACATAGCTACCAAGAATAAAGAATACCTTGCTCTGCTTCCTTTGTAGCTAGGTACGGCCTTATGACCAAGTCCTGACTAATGGGAATGAGCATACATGATATGTACAATTTTAGAACCGATCCCTTAAAGGTTAAGAGGGAATGCTTTATTTCCTTCCATCCCCCACTTCCTGCTAGCTATAAAGTGAGCATAGTCATGAGATATTGTGGATCATGCAGAAAAGAGCAACACCCTAGGGACTGCAGAGCAACCAGCTATTAGGAGCCTAGGTCCCTGTCATTGTGGAGCTGCTATGCCAGCTTTGTACACTGCTTACCTGTTTTGGCTGTTACATGAGAAAAATAAATAAATAAATAAATAAACTTCTATATTCTTTAAGTCATATTATTTTGAGTTTCTGAACAGAAGTTTAACCTTTTTTCTATAAATGCAGGAGGCAAAGGTGAAAGCAAGGAGACCAGCTAGGTAACAAATGATATTAAGAGGTACATGTATTCAGTATAATTTTTCAAGGTAACATTAAAATGCAGATTTTATGCTTATGGTTAAAATACAGATATTTTTTGAGACAGAGACTTGCTCTGTCACACAGGCTAGAGTGCAGTGGTGTGATCTTGGCTCACTGCAAGCTCCGCCTTCCAGGTTCAAGCAATTGTCTGCCTCAGCCTCCCGAGTTACTGGGATTACAAGTGCCTGCCACCACGCCCAGCTAATTTTTGTATTTTTGGTAGAGACAGGGTTTCACCATCTTGGCCAGGCTGGTCTTGAACTCTTGACCTCACGATCCACCAGCCTCGGCCTCCCAAAGTGCTGGGATTACAGGTGTGAGCCACCACACCCAGCTAAAATACATAATTTAAAGATAATAAGTACTTTCATTAAGTTACTTGAGTACAAGTAGTTGAAAAAGTCTAGTAATGTTAAATTTTGACAGTACTATATAGTAGTGGTTCTCAAACTTAGCTTCATATTGGTATCACCTGGAAAGCTTCATAATTACTGTGCCTGAGATGCACCTCTGATTGGGGTGCAGCCTGGGCACTGGAGTAGTTAAGAGCTCCCCGGGTGATTTTAATATGCAAAAAGTTTGAGAACCATTGATATATAGTACTGTTTCAAGCATTTATTAGTTTTATTACCACTGGAGCTTCACACAGTACTTTGAACTGACCTCCTATTTAATCACTGCAATTTCATGTACTCTTAATGCAGCTTTGTTATGAATTGTGCTGCTGGGAAGGAAAGCATTAGAAATTGGTAATTTATAAACAACTTTTTTACAGAGCTCTAGTGTGTTGCATTTGGAAAAGACCTTATAGATAAATCCTAGTATAACCTTGTTTATTGTGCAAATAAAGAAAAGAGCCCAGAGAGATTTTTATTTTCCTGAGGATATGATACTAGTTATTTCAGAGTTGGCCCTTGTGGAAAGTTTTGGTTTGTGAGATGCTTCATAAATGTTCAGAGTACCACTTAAAGTAAAAGTAAACATCAAACATTTATAGATTGGAAGCTGAAGCACAATGAGTTTAATGTGAAATGGCAGAAACTCGTCTGTCAAAACTAGAACTAGATCCAGCTACTATACATCATGTAGAAGTTGTACTATCTAAAGTTCTTAAACTTGAAAGTTATAGAAATTACCTGGAGAGCTTATTTTAAAAGCAAGTTCCTAGGTTTCCCCTCAGGTTTTGATTCAAGATGATGGAGGATGGGACCCAAGAACCTTCATTTAATAAGCTTCCAAGGGATCCTAATGTTGGTGTTCCACGGACAAACTAAAAACACTGAATAAACACTTAGACCATTCACCATCTGCCAAATTACCTCAAGAGTTGAAAAAAATGTATTGATGGGTATTTAGTATTTTAGGACTAATTCTACTCAACTGCAAATTTTTGAAAACAATTTAAAATTATATTTGCAAGTTATGACTCTCTCCAAAAGCCATAAACGGAAAATGTAAAAGCACTTGCGTGCATCATATAAGATGATGGTTACCATAAAGTCATGTACTTCAGGGGGAAGCAGAACAAGATGGTTAAAAAGAAAACTCCAGCAATTACATGCAAAACGGGAACAAAAACAACTATACACACAAAAACACCTTTATAAGAACCAAAAATCAGGCGAGTGATCACAGTACCTGGTTTTAACATTATATTAAGGAAGGAGGCACTGAAGAAGGTAGAAAAGACAGTCTTGAATTGTCTATGCCAACAGTCTCCCAGCAGCAGCCACATGGTGTGGACAGAGAATCTGTATGCAAGGGGGAGGGAGAATGCAGTGATTGTGGGACTTTGCTTCAGAACTCGGTACTGCCTTGTCACAGAAGAAAGTAACACAGAGCATAATTCAGCCAGTGCCTGCAGAGGGAGCATTTAGAACACCCCTAGCCAAGGGGAATCCTCCATCCCAGTGATAGGAACCTGAGTTCTAGCAAGCCCCACCATCACAGGCTGAAGTGCTTGGGGTCCTAAATAAATGAAAGGCAGTCTACGCCACAAGGACTGCTATTCCTGGGCAAGCAACAGTGCTGTACAGGGGTCACAGACAGTGAGGCACCAACCAAGGCAGCCAAGGGAGTGCTTGCATCACCCCTCCCCCAACCTTAGGCAGTGCACCTCACAGCTCCAAGAGATACTCCTTCTGGTTGAGGAGAGGAGAGGGGAGAGTAAAGAGGAATTTGTCTTGCAACTTGGATAGTAGCTCAAAGTAGGATAAGGCATTGGGCAGAGTGCTGAGGCTTCCATTCCAGGCTTCAGCTCCCAAATAACATTTCTAGATACACCCTGGCCAGAAGGTAACCTGCTACCAAGAAAGGAAGGACACCGTGCTAGCAAGATTTATTGCCTGCTGAATAAAGAGGCCTTGGGTCCTGAATAATCAGCTGTGGTAGCCAGACAATACTCACTGTTGACCATGGGTGAGAGTCAGAGACATACAGGCTTCAGGTATGACCCAGCATATTCCCAGCTGTGATGGCTACAGGGAGAGACTCTTCCTGATTGAGGCAAGGAGAGGGAAGAGTAAAGGGACTTTGGCTTGCAGCTTGGGCACCAGCTCAGCCACATTGGGGTAGAGTACCAAGCAGGATCCTGGCGTTTCTGATACCTGGCCTTTGCTCCTGGATAGCATTTCTGGACCTTCCCTGGGCCAGAGGGTATCCAGGTGCCCATATGGAAAGACCCAGACCTGGAAGCATTCACCACAGGCTGACATAAGAGCCCTTGGCCACTGAGTAAACATCAGCGGTAGCCAGGCAGTACTTGCCACACCCTGGGGTGGTGATAGCCACGGGGAAAGACTCCTCTGTTTGAGAAAAGTGGAGGAAAGGGTAAAAAAGATTTGGCCTTGCAACTTGGGTACCACATCAGCTTCAGTAGAATAGAGCACCGGGTATATTCCC